GAAATGGTGTTACAATACATCCCATTAATTGTACATCCCATTACCCTCTAGTAAACTAACATAACTATGGAAAATCGATGGAAAATCACCATTTTGAATAGCTAAATCAACGATCGAAATCACCATATTTTCAATAGCGAACTGTAACAAATTGCCAGAAGGTAAACGATTTTCATGTACATCCACATCCCAATGGTCTGATAATATCTAATCATCTAATCTATATATCCATAAGTATATTCATAGTGGCATGGGATCAAATAATCCATAATATCCATAATATCTATCTCTAATCCATAAAAAATATTCATGATAAGAGATCCCATGCCATGTGTCCCAATAGCTTCCATGTGTCCACAGCTTCGAAACGCACGCGCTCTTCGCTTGGGTCACAGACCGCACCTTTCCACGGCTCCGGGTCTGGCAAGGGCCTGCTGCACCTGGCGTTTTGGGCGATCTATGGATCTCGTTGGGAGATAAAAAATGGTGAAATGGATATTGAAATGGATATTGATTTAGAGATATTGAAACAGTATCTATGGTTATTAATATTATGGATATATCATAGTATATAATGGAGATTTATATGGATATGGTTATGTATATATATATATATCTTTATAAATGGAGATATCATGGATATATCAGGGTATATCATGATGTAACAGTTCTATTTCACAGTATATGATACACTATGATACACTATGATATACATGATACTTCATGTTATCCGCAGTATATCAGTATATGATTCAACTATATACGCAACATCAGCAACAGTTGCTCAGTAGTATATATATATATCATAATCTACTGATATATCTTCCACTAAGCAGACTGAGCAGTTGAAATATACCAAAAAAAATGTGGGAAACACCCAACTTAGCACTGGAAACTGGGAGAAGTCCCTTGGTTGGTTGGGATATCAATACATGTTACATGTATATATATATATATATACATCAAGGATGAAACATTATGATATGATGATATACTAAGAAATATATGGATACACGAATGATATAGCATGTTTCTACTGTTTCATGCCAGCAGGTTTAAGATTGATGAACCATTGTAAGATACAGAAGCAATGGGTTACAAATGGTGTGTGATGGATGGTTTCTAGTGCTGAGATCCCTGTGTAAAAGAGGGTGACAGATGGTTTCAACCACCACGACTCTTTGGATGGTATGAAGGAATTATTTTCTAAGCCCTGCGATTGCCACAACGACCCACTATTATTATGCCAGTCTTCCATGGCAAGCATTCATCCAACACATCATCCAGAATCAAAAGCCTCTGCTCCAGAAAAATCCAGCAACTATTATATGCCAAGATATACTCATGGAAGGTGTCACAATAGCCAAACCACAATCACAGCTAAACGTCTATGCACATGTATCCTCAAACAACACTTGAATATGGCACCAGCACCATGGCATTAACATCTACCACTGCGCCTTCTTGGCGCCCACAAGCTGGTAATCCACCTCATTTTTTGGGGTGAAGAATCCTGGGGGAAATCCAAGCTGGGACATGGGGATGGAATTCACACACTAGCGAATTTGGCCGACTGCGCAAATAGAAACTAATAATGCCTAGCGCAAATAGAAACCAAAAAAAATGCAGGATATTTTTTTCACAAGAACAAGCTCATGGCGAAGAAGATCGGCTTCCATCCTTTTCCATCCTTTTCATCTTTTCCATCCGAGCTTTTTATTGGGACAAGATGCGGAAGGGCACTTGATGGCCTTGGAGCGTTCCAGCATGCCTCGTGCATCCCACTGCACCTGGCAAGAGAGGAACCGCTGGATGCTTCCCCGACATTTTTGGTCACGGAATCTCCGAAATCACAAGCATCATTGGTTAGTAAAGATGGGTTTCAATCATTTAATTTAGTGAATGTGATATTTAATGATAAGCTTAAATATCATAATTGGTTGGGTTTTAATCCCTTAGTGATATATGTAATGAATGTTCTCTCCCCATATTCAATTGCTAGTATATACATATTCATGAAAAAAATCAATTTGCGTGTTTTGTAAAATAAACAATGACAAGTACAAACAACAGTTACCTATAGTTTGGTAGAATCTATACCATACATTAGTTATATGTCAACATATTAATACCATACATTAGTTATATATCTATATTTGTGTGATGCATTTTTTACACAAATCGATCCGTTTTGTCCCAAGTCTTTTCTTTCGGTGCACCTCAGTGGGGTAGTCCTCGGGTCCATAGCCTGCGCGATAGTAGACCACTGACACCTGGCATCGCGGTGAAATCACCAGAAAAAATCAGGGATCTCAGGGGGTCATGAGTCGTCTTAAAACCATTAATATATACCCTCTGGATCCCTCTGGTAATTTAACATAGCTATTGAACATGTCAAGTTTTAATAGGAAAATCAACTATAAATGGCCATTTTCAATAGCTATGTTAAATTGCCCGAGGGTAAGTGATGTAATTACGCAGAATTCATGCTGTTGATGGTGGCAAAGCTGCAGGTGGTGATGATTGTCATCAATGCGCTCAACACAAAGCACTGAACGTGAAGCAATTCGAGCAATGTTGCTGTTTTCAAATACCAAGAAATACCAAGAAATCATCAAGCAACTGGTTGCTTTCATTCAACAGTTTCACAATGTTTCACATGTTGATGATGTCGGACAATCCTCATGAAGTCAAATGCACTTTCAATCTCAACACTGAATGTACAGAAATCTGTACTCTTCGAGACGTTGAGCCATGTCTTCGCCGCAGGCAAAGCGATGCTTTGCACCCACGTGAAACGCTGTGAAACATGCTGAAACCGGGTCGTGGAGCTGCACTCAGCGTCTTCCAACCATCAGCAACATCATATTATTGCTGGAATTGTTCAACATTCGAGTTGCCCTTCAGAGCCTCAACCTTCACACCTTTCAAAGTGCCATTGCCATGTCCAATTGATGCCACCGTGCAGGAAGCGAGGGCCCTTCGTCCTATCCAAGTCGCAGGGGATGGGAATGGATTTCCTTCGGCGTATTTGAACGTCTCACCATTTTTGATCCATTTTGGATCAAGTTTGACACACAACTGCAGGCAGCCCACATGCCAGGTCTGGGTGAGGAATTGGTGACATTCTCATAGAATAAACATGAACAGACACTGCAGCTGCCATGGCAAGCGGCATTCTTCCGAGCGAGCGCCCACAGTAAGGTATTCTCACGTGGTTATCATTGGCCAATGCTGAGACCGAAGTGACGGAAACCTGTCGAAGTTGTAGAATTCCCACTGTTTGTCCAAACTGTTTCAAGGGCCAGCTCCGATATATCCTTGACCGCATCAAATTGATCCAAAGTTGGTGATCTGGATCCAGTGATAGCCGAGATAGACTCGAAACAGTTGGGATGTCATGTTGTTTGACAAATAGATTGTAGAAAACCGTGGTCTTTGAAGGATCCGCCGGGCGCAACGCAGTTGAAGTGGCAAACGAAACGTCCACAGTAGCATGTTGTTCCTTTCCTCTCCGAAGACTCCTCTGGACCATCGATGTGGAGTCGCAGACCATCGATGTGGGGTCACAGTGTGCAAGCGCTGATGTCAAAAACCCAAGCAACTGCCATTGATGACATTATCGCAAGATTCGGTATATCAACGATGCTTCAAAAAGCTTGAGCCAATGTCCTTGTTCCAATACAGTACAGCAAAAACTTGTTCCAGTAAACCTTGACCTTTGCCAATGACCTGGTTGGAGAGACAATTTTGTAACGGATGGTATCAACGAGACGTCCATTTGTTTATTTGTTTGGTCACCAAATACCATTCAAACACCTTCTAGTCATGCGAAACCACATTTGCTTGGAAACAACCAAATTAAGTGTGGATTCACTTGGAGGTTTCCTACAATCGGGGGTACCCCCAAATCATCCAGTGTCTTTTTTTTCAGGAATTTCCATGAAATAAAGCATCCAACTATTGCCCATAGGATCCATGTATGCTATATATGGTAACATTTACCATCAATATACCCCCAATGTTAGTATATATACCAGCACCATGGATCCTATGGGTTGGGAACTTCCCCAATTTATGGGGTTTCCCAGACCCAAAAGCCCATCCCAGCTACCCATCGCCTCGCTACCGTCCAGGCGAAGGGTCCCATCTTGTTCCATCGTGGCCTGCTGCTTCAGCTGCGCCAGGGTCCGTTGCACCACGCGCACGCCGTGGGTCTGCCACAAGGCGTACTCCAACTGCGGCGTGGTAGAAATGCTGGGGGGCCATAGTTGTTGTTTTTTCCCATGGTGATGGGACAGCTATGTTTTGATGATCTTATTTATAGTCAGGTTACTGTGTTTAGTATATCTGGAACACGACTCGACAAGTGGTGGCAGAGTCTGCAATAGAAAAGCCTCCGACCACCATGCAAGGTCTCAAAAAAAACAACACCATACAACCGCAATAAGACAGTCCATGTTGATATGATCTCCACCTATTGCTTTATATCATAGTTTCTCCCAATGATACCCCAGTTTTTTTCCCACCTGACACCAGTCGGCAAAGTTCCTGAGATCCTCGTTGACCACAAAGACCACCTTGGCGTCTTTCACACCATAGGCCTGGTGCGCCTGGGCCAAGAATGGGACCCCGGTTTCAGCATAGCAGATCCATGTGGATAAAATCACAAAGTCACGAATTCATTTCATGTAAATCGGAAGACCAAAAGCCAACCATCATCCCACCATCTCATCATAGATCTCATCATTTTTCTGCTGATGTATTTGACATCTGAAACATCACAAGTTCATGGCTATCCCAGACCCCCTCTACCAATTGGTTTCAGCCTTGAATCAGCTTCAATCACCCTCGAAATAGATGCTTTACCCATCAATAACTCCCCAACTCCATAGCTCTCACCATCCCAAGCCCCCCTCCTCCCACCCAACCCATCCCCAACCCATCCCCAACCCATCCCCTGCCTTGGCCAAAGCCGCGGGGATCGCCTGCAACGTGACGTTCTCCGGCAGGTGCCGTTGCACGTCCCGCTGCGACCAGCCGCTGCTGGGGGCCAGGCCGAAGTGGCTCTGCAGCGCCTGCGCCACGCGGTCGCCGTCGCCGCCGAAACGGGAGAGGAGGAAACGGTGCAACTTGCCTACCTGGGATAGGATGGAATTCTGGGAATTGCTGGGTATGGGTAAATCATATGTATGGCAAATATACTATATGGCTAATGGAATCCCGGCAAATATGAATAATATAGCAGTAGGATTACCAAAATGATTGCCACCTGGTGGGATAGGATGGAATCCCGGCAATAGGTGTATGCTAGACATGTTGTATATATCAAGTTATCATTTCAATTTATTTGGGTTCTGAACATTAGGTACCACATTTAATTGATCATCATGTTCCCTACTAACATTGTTGGGTGTACCCCAGTTTTAGACACACCCATTTCATGATGTTAAACTAAGGTATTGATGGGCTGGAACGATCAACCCACTTAGGTAAGTGGCTAATTTTGCTGGTTTTTGTCAGATATCAATGGACATAAATGGGATGACCCCAAGGAAGGGACTGGCTAAGACCAAGCTTAGCAACCAGGTATCACCTGGTGGGATGGGATGAAAATTCAGTTTATTTTTTGGCTGAATCTTTGGCCTCCAAGGCACGTTCAGGGCATGCGCTCCCATGGATGAGGCAATGGTATTCAGCTCCACTTGCAGAAACCGTGGCTCCGAATTTTCGGAGCCCTCGTGCAACATGTAATCGGAGCGATGAATGCCCAACATGATGGGCTGCTTCAAACCCTGGTGGCCGTGTTGGGAGAACTCCGGTTGAACTGTGGGGATGGGTCAAACTCCTGGAAAATGGCCTGGGGGAAATGGAAAAACATATTGGAATGATGTCAAAATCATCAAATTGTTGGTTATATCCCATCATTTTTCACCGTCAGAACAAGCATTACACTTTAAAGCATCGGGAAAAATCCAATAGTGGTCTATCACCATTTTTCCTATCATTTCTGCTGGCTAAAGCCAGGTTAAGCGACAATTTTCCATGTTTTTGTGCTTGCATCTTAATTTGTACTCTTGATCTTCCTATTGGTTGGGTAAATTGTCCACAAATTAATGGTGGTTTCCTACAAACCCCTTCACCACATCCCTGGCAGCCACTGGCATCGCTCGAATCCCATACAATACCCCAAACTAGTTGAGGCAAATACCCTTTGTGCCTACCTATAATATATATATATATAATTATATGACATAATAGATGTAATATATAACAAATATATATAACATAGACCCGGGCAAGCCGGCGGCGGAAGTTTCCCAAACATAAATAAATGACCTATAGTTCAAAGACACCCTGTCCCGACCGTGTCCTTCCCTCGACACTCCACACCTCACACTGCACACTGCACTCTTCGCACTCCAAACTTCAAACTTCACACTCCACACTTCACACTCCACACTTCTCACTTCTCACTGCTTCCTTCACACTCCAAACCTCACACTTCACACTCACACTGCACACTTCACACTTCACAGCACACTCCACACTTCACAGTCCACACTTCACACTTCACACTTCACAGTCACTTCACACTTCACACTTCACAGTCCAGACTTCTCACTTCTCACTTCGCACTTCACACTTCACACTTCACACTCCACATTTCACACTTCTCACTTCTCACTGCTTCCTTCACACTCCAAACTTCACACTTCACACTTCACACTCCACATTTCACACTTCTCACTTCTCACTGCTTCCTTCACACTCCAACACTTCACACTTCACACTTCTCACTTCGCACTTCACACTCCACACTTCACAGTCAACACTTCACACTTCTCACTTCTCACTGCTTCCTTCACACTCCAAACTTCACACTTCTCACTTCGCACTTCACACTCCACACTTCACTCACACTTCACACTTCACAGTCCACACTTCACACTTCTCACTGCTTCCTTCACACTCCAAACCTCACACTTCACACTTCGCACTGCGCTCTTCGCACTCCACACTGCACAGTCCACACTTCACACTTCTCACTTCACACTTCTCACTTCTCACTGCTTCCTTCACACTCCAAACTTCACACTTCTCACTTCGCACTTCACACTCCACACTTCACAGTCCACACTTCACACTTCTCACTTCTCACTGCTTCCTTCACACTCCAAACTTCACACTTCACACTTCTCACTTCGCACTTCACACTCCTCACTTCACACTTCACAGTCCACACTTCTCACTTCTCACTGCTTCCTTCACACTCCAAACTTCACACTTCTCACTTCGCACTTCACACTCCACACTTCACAGTCCACACTTCACACTTCTCACTTCTCACTGCTGCCTTCACACTCCAAACCTCACACTTCACACTTCACACTCACTCTTCGCACTCCAACCTTAAACTTCACACTCCACACTTCACACTTCTCACTTCCCACTGCTTCCTTCACACTGTACACTTCACACTGCACTCTTCACACTCCACACTTCACACTGCACTCTTTGCACTCCAAACTTCACACTCCACACTTCACAGTCCACACTTCACACTTCTCACTTCTCACTGCTTCCTTCACACTCCAAACTTCACACTTCACACTTCACACTGCACTCTTCACGCTCCACATTTCACACTACACTCTTCACACTCCACAGTTCATCTCATCTGAGCTCTTCTCACCTTATCCCAGCTCATCTCTTCTCATTTCGTCCCTTCTCATATGTCATCTATTAAGCTTTCATTAATCAATTCCCAGCACTACTACTAATCACTGTCGAACCCTTGATGCACCTACTCCAATACGATTTACGAAGTCCAGCTGCAAAAGACAATAGTATTACGCATGCAGCCGTGGCAAGAAGCAACCTTGACGCAGCCATTACAATGCGATCTGCAGAGACTGAGTTGCAAAACACAATAGAACTACGCACAACGGCGTCGGAAATTGTAGCTCCAAAACCGGATCTCGACGCCAGAGCGAAAAAAGACGATTTTGAAGCACTTTTTAAAAGAATTTTTAAAAAGAAAATCACTGGCGCCAAAATGGAGAAAATCTGCTGACAAATCAATGTCGCAGCCTTCATGCAGCCACTCCAATACGATTTACGAAGTCCAGCTGCAAAAGACAATAGTATTACGCATGCAGCCGTGGCAAGAAGCAACCTTGACGCAGCCATTACAATGCGATCTGCAGAGACTGAGTTGCCAAACACAATAGAACTACGCACAACGGCGTCGGAAATTGCAGCTCCAAAAGCGGATCTCGACGCCAGAGCGAAAAAAAGACGATTTTGAAGCACTTTTTAAAAGGATTTTTAGAAGGAAATTCACTAGCGCCAAAATGGAGAAAATCTGCTGACAAATCACTGTCGCAGCCTTCATGCAGCCACTCCAATACGATTTACGAAGTCCAGCTGCAAAAGACAATAGTATTACGAATGCAGCCACAGCACGCAGCAACCTTGACGCAGCCATTACAATGCGATCTGCAGAGACTGAGTTGCAAAACACAATAGAACTACGTGCAACGGCGTCGGAAATTGTAGCTCCAAAACCGGATCTCGACGCCAGAGCGAAAAAAAAGACGATTTTGAAGCACTTTTTAAAAGAATTTTTAGAAGGAAATTCACTAGCGCCAAAATGAAGAAAATCTGCCAACAAATCACTGTGGCAGCCTTCATGCAGCCACTCCAATACGATTTGCGAAGTCCAGCTGCAAAAGACAATAGTATTACCAATGCAGCCACAGCACGAAGGAACCTTGACGCAACCATTTACAGGGAGGGAGGGAACGATCCTAGACTTGCAAATCACAATGGAATTCCATCGGCAACTCATCCACCAGCACCACTTGCAATCCCATTTACAGTGAGGGAACGATCCTAGAGTTGCAAATCACAATGGAATTCCATCAGAAACTCATCCACCAGCACCACTTGCAACCCCATTTACAATGCGGGAACGATCCTACAGTTGCAAATCACAATGGAATTCTGTCGACCGTAAATGCAGAACCGATCCGAGAATGATCCGAACATGATCCGAACATGATCCGACCACACACGAGACCATCTCGCACCCGTCGCACAGCAGAGGTAGATCATCGACGTTCGGTGACGCACTTTGTCTGGAAAAACACAGGGTTTCCTGCATCTGCTATCTCTCAAAAACGCATTTCGTGCGAGACTTCCTTCAAAACTCCATTGGCAACTCATCCACCAGCACCACTTGCAATCCCATTTACAGTGAGGGAACGATCCTAGAGTTGCAAATCACAATGCAATTCCATCAGCAACTCATCCACCAGCACCACTTGCATCCCATTTACAATGCGGGAACGATCCTACAGTTGCAAAGCACAATGGAATTCCATCGGCAACTCATCCACCAGCACCACTTGCAATGCCATTTGCATTGCGAGAACGATCCTACAGTTAACCTCTGTTCTTTGATTGTGATAGTTTGGTTTTTGAAAATGATAGTTTCATTTTGGGTGAAACAATGCAGTTGTTTTTTGCTTTTCAATTTGGGGATGGTTTTCCAACATGTTTCTTTTCATTTTCTAGGGATAAGTTTTCATGCTAAAATTGAAACCTGGAGAGGTGGGGGCAGTTCAGAACAAAAAAACATGCTGTAATTCAAACAACAAGTATCATGATTGCTGAACCAAACACACACACACTAACCTGGAGGGGGGGGCAGGTCAGAACAACAAACATGTTGTAATTCAAACAACAAGTTTCATGATTACTGAACCAAACACAAACATACACACACACAGACTGCCAATGACCATCAAGCATCATGAACATAAATATATATATATTTAATCAAGGGTCATGCACATATGATACCAATATAATGTCACCAAGAGTCATAAAATCATAAAATACCACCCAGTGTCCCCGGGTTGTCATCCACTTGTGATACCACCATGCACACAAGTCATGAACATATATGTGATACCATTAATTTGTACCTGCAGGTTTCCTGGACAGGTGATGCCGTTGCAGCAGCCTTCAGCTGGGGATGGTGGGGATAACGTCCCTGAACAAGGGACTAGCCCTGAACAAGGGCATCATAACCCCTAAAATAATAGGCTTCAATTCCAAGACTTGGCATTCCAGGCCTTGGCAATTGAATTAAGACATCAAATTCAATTCCAAGACTTGGCGTTCCAGGCCTTGGCAATTGAATTAAGACATCAATTTCAATTCCAAGACTTGGCGTTCCAGGCCTTGGCAATTGAATTAAGACATCAGCTTCAATTCCAAGACTTGGCATTCCAGGCCTTGGCAATTGAATTCGTATCCGTTCCAAGAAAAGGGTTAAACAAAAATCTGTCCCGTAGCTGGCAAATACATACATACACCTCCCTTTCATTTTCAAAGTTGTGAGAATTCATCAGGAATAATTCCAGTCTAGATTTTTTTCATATTCTTATTTTCACAAATGAGCTGGATGACTATATGCATAGTTCTTTTTTTTTTGTCTGGTGCGTGGCATTTTTGGGGCTTGGTGTGATCTACAGGTGTTCAATGCATATACATGACTATACTCATACACTTCTAGTGGATTGCATGCTCCAACCATCAGGTTCCCAAATGTGGTTGTAGGAATGGAGCTGCATAGGAACCTAAATACCGACTGGTTTGACATTAGGATTTCAAATGGCAGACCTTCAGGCAAATTAAACAAAAACACACTGTTTTTGAAGACATGATTAGATATGAATAGTTGTGACTAGTGTAACGATGGAAC